TTCTGATTATAAATATAGATGGGTTGCCACTTTCAAGGAGCTCTGCCAACCAGTTCTGGCCGATTCACGTTCTTTTTCATGAAAGCAAAATCCGGGTACCATTCACTGCTGCTTTGTATTTTGGAAAGTCGATACCAAAATGCCTTGAGGGTTTCTTAAGTGATTTCATCATTGAACTTCATCTCATCACTGGAGGCGTACTTCATGGTAGCATAACCCATTCTGTGTCCATTCGTCCTTTTGTGTGTGATGCCCCGGCTAGGTCTTATGCAAAGTCCATAACTGGGCATGCTGGGTACTATGCATATGAAAAATGTAGCCAGAAAGCGACATATTCTGTAGAATTCAGAAAGGTGCTGCTAACCGAGGCAGATCATGCACGGCGTACGGACGATGACTTCAAACAGCAAAAAAATAAACTGCATCACAAAGGTTAATCTCCTTTGCTAAAACTCCCATTGGTATGGTTAGTCAATTCCCATTAAACTACATGCACTTGGTGTGTTTAGGTGTTATCAAGATCTTAGTTCAATACTGGCTTGGAGAAACTCCTTCCAGCGCAAAACTGCCTTCACGTGTGAAAGCTTCAATTTCACAAAAGATGGAGGGATTGCAGGCGTATGCTCCACAAAAATTTTGTCGCACACCTCGCACCCATCAGGAGGTCAAACACTGGAAAGCAACTGAACTACGAAACTTCATTGTTTATTTTGGACCTGTGGTTCTCTTGGACGCACGGAGAGAGATTTCTATCGCCACTTCATGAAGCTGGATGTCGCAATCTCTATCCTCGCACATCCAGTGTTCTGCACCACTCACATCGACTTAGCTGAAAACCTGCTTTACCAATTTGTCTGAGAGGCGGGTGGGCTCTGTGGTAAGGGAATATATGTGTACAATATACATTCCCTAGTACACTTGGCACAAGATGTTCGCACCTTTGGTCTTCTTGATAGCTCCTCGGCTTTTCCTTGTGAAAATTATCTGGGCCAGCTAAAACGGCTGATTCGGTCTGGTAATCTACCTTTACAGCAAGCAGTCAAAAAGAGTGAGCGCAATAAAACTGCCTGCATTTAATCAGTTTCAAAGGAGGTAACCCTGCTGAAAAAAGAACATGACAAAGGCCCAGTTCCAAACAATTTTAATGGAAGGCAGTATCGCAAGCTAGTTTTAAAGGATATGTTCCTCTCTACAAGCCACGGAGACAACTGTGTGACAATGAAAGATGGGAAGGTCATACTCAATCAAAATATATTCAAGGCCAACGGACAGATAAAACTGTGTGGTTATTTTTTACAGCTTTGGATGACCTCTACTGAATTGGTCTGCGTTCATCAGATTTGCGTGTGTAAAAGGCTTCAAGACGTTCAGGGACTCTTTCTAAAGGATCCCAGGCGAAAATTTTCAACTGGGACCAATTGGTCCCAGTTGCAACTGGTTTATGGAACAATTCCCAGTGGCAACTGGTCCCAGTTGGAGTTGGTCCCAGCTGGAATTGGTCACAGTTACTAACTGGTCCCAGTCAGAGTTGGTCCCAGTTATCGCTGGTACCAACTCCAGCAACAATGAAACACGGCACAAAATGAAAAGTTGACAATACTTTATTGTCAAAAACTTGGAGAATGAAACTAAATAATAGGTTCAGTGACGTGCACGCTCCGGGTTTAGCCACTTGCTTGCGACGGTTGAATCGCTTTTTCAGAGGTAGTATTCATCAGATGAAGGAATATCGGCAGCTGGCGTCTGTTAGTAAAGATGTCCTCAGCTTCTCTCTCCATCGCGTGAAGAAAGGTGCTTACCCGTAATCCCGCGTTGCGCAGGTGAAGTCATGATAGGATGCGGTAGCGCTCCCACCTTGCAATCTCTGTCACAGCAGTCGAACAATTTCGAGGTAGACCTCCCGCCATTTTCGCCATTGTGCTCTCCGCGGCGTTTTCTCTTCCGTCCGGCCTAAGTGCGTCCGGTCTTTCCTGGGTGCCCTCCGATCGCTGAACTGTACCTTTCCATCCTCAAAGTTCACCGCCGCCACCATGGTGTGTGTACAGTTAGGTCCAAAGAAGCGCAGCTGTAGTTTTGACATTTTCATAACGACGCAAACTTGGACGAGGCCAACTTGGGCGATGGCCGCGTCGGCCGCGTCCGTCCGACTCCGGCGTGCGTTGTAGGCGTGCGTCAGCAAAGGTAGCGCCCTCTGTCGACAGCGCGTACCACTAATCCGCACCCGCGTCCCGCGTGCCACGGCGGCCTGATTGGCAAAAGATAAATTTATTTATTAAAAGAAAAAGATACTGCAGGTATTTAAATAAATGTTTTAATATATTTTAATAATGCACTAAATGTTCATTTAGGTGAACAGATTTTGTCACTAACTATATTTTCAAATTAAAAAAATTATTCAGTTAATCAAAATTTTTATATTATTTTTATAAATATATAAATGTACCCAGTAATTAAAAATTCCCCTATTTATATAAATCTAAAAATGTACGTGTTTCTAGTTTTCCTCATTAGCAAAGGTCAATGCACCCCCTACTTGTCAAAATTGTTGTCCCGTGTGAACTGGGAACGGGAAAGGCATTTGAAGTCCGACTGGGAATCGCTCCAACCAGTTCCTTCCGTAACTGGTCCCAGTTGACTCCGTTCCCAACTGGGAGTCAAAACAGTTGACTCCCAAGTGGGAACGGTTCAAACCAGCTAACTCCCAACTGGGAATGGTTGAAACCAGTTGACCCCTCAGCTGGTCCCAGTTGGACTCCTATTGGTCCCAGTTGATTCCCAGTTGGGACCAGTTAGTCCCAGTTGAAACCAGTTGAGGTGACAACTGGTCCCAGTTAGAAATTTTCGCCTGGGATGTGGAACATGCTGCTTGGAAGTGTGCTTGCTTTCCTCAAGGAAAAGCGTCTTTTGCCATCTTTCCAATCCTTCATCTGATGGATGGGTGAATGATAGCCTAGGGGGAGAGAGAGATTTAAGGGGTTTATGGCGCAATAGCTACGAGGCCATCTGCGCCAAACTAATTTTATGCTTCATTGTACTATTAAACGGGATTTACAAACAGATGACCAAGAAGCTAAAATCGGTGTAAAAGGCCAACACTACCAAGAAATTCTATTACTCGTTCAAAAGCGACCATAGGATTCTCTTCCAGAAGAAGAGCTGGATGAAATGGGATATGATATTGAAAAAATTCAGGGAAATGAATGCGGCACTTGGGCTCAAGGCCGGGGCACAACCATACAATATGCAAAACAGTGAGCCTATCACCACACTGATCGCATACTGGTGGAGCTCCTCCCGAAAGCAAATACCTATGGGTTATAAAAGAGTGTCCGATTCTCAAACGGCACAACAATGTTTCATGAAGTCGGCTCTTGCAGGAAGAGCTTTCCCAAACTCCCAAAGCCGGTTTGGTAACATGAAACTTGTTATCGCACTCCACGTCTCATTCCAGTTGCCAAGAATGAAGAATCGAGGACTTCACCAATGGCTTAATATTTTGATAGGGTAAACAGGACAGAGAATGTGGAAGGTTACCGGCAGACCCTGCAAGCTTGTCGGCTTCTTCATTGCCTTCTATGCCAATGTGACTGGGTACCCAACAAAATTTTATATTTTGACCTCCATGCAAAGCAGAGTTAAGTTTTTATCGAATCTGTAGTACAAGCATATTTTTAGTATCTTTAAGAGAGCAAACTGCAAGAATCACATTTTGAGAGTCAACAAGCAGACCGCCCTCAGTATTTTGCTATTGATAATACATTCCACCGCCTTTGATATCGCATAGAGCTGCGCAGTAAAAATGCTGGCAATACAGTCAAGTCGTTGAACCTTGGAGAAGCTTTCAGAATACACAGCGCAACCGACAAAAGAGGAGATCTTGGCACCATCTGTATAAACATGAAGATAACCATCATACTTAGTTTGCAGTTCACCAAACTCTTGCTTAATTACAGCATGGGAAATGCCATGCTTGTTGAACTTCGCGAGAGACCAGTTGGATTCAGCTTGCTGTGCTTTCCAAGGTGAAATACCGTTGACTTTCCTAACGAGGCCGACCTGGTCCAGAGCAAGGTGCAGAGAAGTGCGAAGCTGTTCAATGCGGAAGCTTAATGGTGTCACAATGCTTGGTTTATTTTCAAAAAGGCGAAAGAACCTTGATCTTGTAAGTGAAGGGTACGTCGGATGCTTGGGGTCGGCCAGAATCTTGTAAGCATATGTTAGACTAAGATATGTGCGTCATTTGATCAGGGACAGCTCATTGGATTCTGCATACAAACTGAGGACAGGCGACGTCCGGAAGGCTCCTGTTGCCAGTCGCAACCCGAGATGGTGAACTGGGTCCAACATTTTAAGGGCAGAGGGCCGAGCCGATCCATACACTACCGCACCGTAGTCAAGACGGGATCGTACAAGGGCGTTGTATAACTGCAGGATACATTTTCTCAAGGGCGTTGTATAACTGCAGGATACATTTTCTATCAGACCCCCAAGACTTGTGAGATAAAACCTTCAAAAGATTTGTGGACTGAAGGCATTTTTGCTTTAGCGCTTTAAGGTGGGAAATAAAGTTAAGCTTTTTATCAAATATTACACCAAGAAATTTGTGATCCTTTCTAACTGGGATAAGGGTTCCATTTAATTCCAGGGATGGATTCAAAGACAACCCGCGGCGCAAAGAAAAAGGCACACAGACCGTTTTTGAGGTAGATAATCTGAACTCATTTTCGTCGGCCCACTTCGACAGTTTGTTTATGGCTAACTGTAACTGACGCTCACAACTGGAAAGGTTACAAGAGGATAATGAGATCTGTATATCATCAGCATAGAGAGAATATCTAATTGAAGGTGGCAGCAGTCGTGTAAGTGAATTCATTGCTAGTAAAAATAGAGTTACACTTAGAACACCCCCTTGAGGGAGTCCGTTTTCTTGAACAAAGGAATCAGATAGGACTGAACCGAGACGAACTTGAAAGGTCCTGTTCATCAGATATTCCTGTAGTGTTATCGCTCCTGCGGTAGAACCTAAGACGCGCGTGACTATCGGTTATCGCGCTCTACTGTCTGCTTCGAGATGACTCGTCGTAGGAGTGCTGCGCACGGTTGTTGTCATGTGACCTGATATGTGTGTATATATGTGGGCGTGGCAATAAACGGGGCACTTCTGGGTCTGGGCCCCAAGTTGGAAGTCTTGCCTTCATCCCAAAGCAAACGCGACATGGTGTCAGAAGTGGGATGACACTCCTGCTCTCCCTCGTCGTCGTCGTCCTACGCCCCTTCTTCGCCGTGGCTGCCATTTAAGTTCAAGCATGGTTGGCGACGAAAGCGGCACCGGCACGGACCAGGCCATTCGAGCTCCGTCGCAGCCGGGAGTGTTTCCTGTCCAGCCGCCCCCGAGTTTTAACTTCGACAAAACGTCGGAATGGCCCGCTTGGGTGCTGGACTTCGACGACTACAGGTTCGCCTCAGGACTGAACGAGCGGACACAAGAAGCACAGGTACGGACCTTGCTATACACAATGGGAAGGCAGGCACGCAAGATATTTCAAACCTTCAACCTGTCCGAGGAAGAAGCGAAAAACTATTCTCTGGTCAAGCAAAAGTTCGACGACCATTTTGTCGCCGCGCGCAATTTGGTCTACGAAAGCGCCCGCTTCCACCGTCGTTCTCAAGAACCCGGGGAAACAGTGGACCAGTTCGTTACGGCGCTTCACACGCTGGCCGACCGGTGTGACTACGGAGAAGTCAAAGAACGCATGGTGCGTGACCGCTTCGTTGTGGGCCTGATGGACGCCAAGCTGTCCGAGGCTCTCCAGATGGACGCGACGCTGACGCTAGCCAGCGCCCTTGCCAAGGCACGCCTGAAGGAGACGGTGCAACGGCAACAGAGGGAGCTTCGCTGCGGCTCGGCGGAACATTCCGAGACTGCCTCGTCAACGGCAGAGGTGGACGCAGTTCGCAGAGAACAAGCTACGGCGCGTCACCCGCGGAACAACCGGCGTGGTGGACACAAAGGCAACGGCGCTCCGAAGTGCTCATCGTGCGGAAGAGGTCCGCACTCCAGGTCTTCGTGCCCGGCTAGAGGAGCGGTCTGCCACAAGTGCGGCAAGCGAGGACACTTCGCCGCAGCGTGCTTCACGCCGTCTAAGGTAGGCGTCGACCAGGCTGGGAGACAAGGGACTACGAAGCGCGCGACCTTTATTGGTACTTTAGCAGGCAGTAGCGCGAAGGCTCGCACGGTACAAGTGTCTGTAAATGATACAGTTGTTACCGCTGAAGTCGATACCGGAGCTGAAGTTTCGGTGATTCCGACGTCATTCCCAGGATTACCAAGGCAGCTAGAGAGTTGCGATGTAATCTTAAAAGGCCCAGGCTACGATAAGTTGAAGGTAAAAGGACAATTTGTTGCCAACATTTCGTGGAAGCGCAGTTCCACTCGACAAACTGTCTTTGTCGTAGAATCTGTGAAGTCCGTCATCCTGGGTTTACCAGCCATTGAAGCCTTAGGGATAGTTAAGTTTGTCGACAAAGTATCGGTGGAAAAAGGCTTTCCTTCGCTGTTTCAAGGTCTTGGGACCATGGAAGGCGAATACTGCATTCGTCTTAAACCAGACAGTGTGCCTTACGCCATCCACACCGCTCGTCGTGTTCCCATCCCGTTGCGAGAGGCCGTAAAAAAAGAACTTGACAAAATGGAAATGAATGGGGTCATTAGAAAAGTTGAAGGCCCAACCGAGTGGTGTGCGGGTATAGTGCCGGTCTTAAAGCCGTCGGGTGAGGTACGCATTTGCGTTGACTTAACTCAACTAAACAAAAACGTAAAACGAGAACGTTTTGTACTTCCCACGGTTGACGAGACTATTGCCTTGCTCAGTGGAGCAGCAGTATTTTCGAAACTGGACGCTAACTCGGGATTCCATCAAGTCAGATTAGCAAAGGAATGCCAGCAGTTAACTACGTTCATAACGCCGTATGGTCGTTACTGCTTCGAACGATTGCCGTTTGGTATAACATCGGCTCCTGAGTATTTCCAAAAGCGCATGAACGAAATTCTTGATGGAATGCCGGGTGTAGTAAACATGATGGACGATGTGCTAGTATTTGGGTCGAATCAGCAAGAGCATGACGAGCGTTTACATCGCACTCTTGAGCGTCTTCACAAAGCCGGCATAACCCTGAACAAAGAAAAATGCCAATTCAGCGTGAAAGAACTGTCTTTTCTGGGTTTCTTGGTCAGCAAGGACGGCATACGGCCAGATCCCGGAAAGGTCCGCGCGATTGCTGATATGAAGGCGCCGACAAGCGTAGCGGAGGTGCGCAGACTCTTGGGTCTCGCTAATCACTGTTCGCGGTTTATTCCCAATCTGGCTGATAAGACAGCGCCGCTGCGTCAGTTGCTACAAAAGAATACAGACTGGATTTGGACGGACGCTCAGGAGAAGGCGATGGAGTGCCTGAAAAAGGCCATTTGTTCAGATAGTTGCATGGCCAAGTATGACCCGAGGTATCCGACGATCCTATCGGCAGATGCCTCGTCATACGGATTAGGTGCCGTTCTGCTACAGCTGCAGCCCAACAACGAGCAAAGGCCCGTCGTTTTCGTTTCTAGGGCTCTAACACCTACTGAAATGCGCTATGCGCAAATTGAAAAAGAAACCTTGGCATTGACTTGGGCCGCAGAACGTCTGGAAAGTTATTTGAGGGGGTTGCATTTCACAGTGGAAACTGACCATAAACCATTAGTCACATTACTGGGAAAGTCTCCACTGGATTTGCTCCCACCGCGCATTCAGAGGTTTCGTATGCGCTTGATGCGTTTTAGCTTTGATGTGGAATATGTGCCCGGCAAGAATCTCGTGATTGCTGATGCATTATCGCGGGCGCCTTTACGAGAACAGCGAACGGCAAAATGCCTATCGGTAGAAGAAGTCAGCAGTTTTGTTGCAGGCTCGTTGTCAGAATTGGGCGAGTCTGATAGCTTCAGATCTGTTGCCGAAGAGCAGGCATGCGATGAGGTTTGCCAACGACTAATTCGCTACACTCGTGAAGGCTGGCCCAGCCTAGCTTCGTTGCCTGCAGAGTTAAAGCCTTACTGGCAAGAACGTGGAACGCTGAGTGTTTGTAAAGGCGTCCTCCTCAATGGAAGCCGCCTCGTGGTTCCACAGTCATTACGAAGCATGGTCTTGAAACAGCTTCATGAAGGGCATCAAGGAATTGTCCGGTGCAGGGCGAGAGCGCTTGAGTCCGTATGGTGGCCGGGCTTAAGCTCACAACTTGCTTCGATTGTCACGAACTGCCGTGTTTGTGCTGAGTACCGTGATCAGCCAGCGGAGCCTATGATTCCAACTAGGACTCCGTCAAGGCCATGGGAACGGGTGGCCGCGGACATTTTTCATATGAAAGGAAGCAACTACCTTTTGGTGGTAGATTATTTTTCACGTTTTCCAGAGCTGTGTCGCTTAGAATCCCTCACTAGTCCCCATGTTGTCGAACAACTTAAAAGTGTTTTTTCGAGGCATGGTATTCCGGAAGTGCTGGTGTCGGATAATGGCAAACAATTTGTAAGCCAGGAGTTTGACCAGTTCTCGAGAGAATACCGGTTTAGACGCGTCACATCTAGCCCGAGGTTTCCGCAGGCAAACGGTGAAGTTGAGAGGATGGTAAAAACGATTAAAGGACTACTATTGAAGTCAAACGATCCCTTTTTGGCTTTATTAGCCTACAGGGACACCCCGGGACAACTAGGCAGCACGCCAGCCGAGCTGCTGATGAGTCGGCGACTCCGGACCACGCTCCCGCTCCACCCAAAGAAACTGGCGCCTAGTACGCAAAACCTGAAGGAGGTCCGTCGAAAAGACACTCTCCTTAGGGACGCCCAACGTCGCTTCTACAATAGGCGCCACGCGGCCCGTCACCTGCCGCAGTTGGAGCCCGGTGAGGGAGTCTGGGTGAAAGACCGCAGAGAGAAGGGCGTAATCCTTAAGCTGGCCAGTAGACCGCGGTCGTATGTGGTGGAGTTGGATAAGGGGGGCAGAATCGAGCGGAATCGAAGAGCCCTGGTCCAACTTAAGCAGGACAGGGAAAGTGTTGACAACAGTGACGACTGCTACGAGTTTCCGGAAGGGGAAACTGACGGCGGCGTGAGTGCAGAATGCCTGAGTCGTCCCGGTTCGATTGGCCAAAACAGTCCGCTTCAAGGACTCAAGCCTAATGTTTCGTTGCCAGCGGTTCCTCCGGAGTATGTGACGCGATCTGGTCGGACAGTACGCAAGCCTGAGCGGTACGGAGTTTCGGAATGCCGCGTATTTGATTTATGTTTGTTCTGAAGGCTGAGTAGACTGTTCTTTATGCCGTGTATTTGATTGTCTGTTTTGAGTGTACCTTTATTTTGGCTCTCGCTTGTTGAGGTGGTATAGCTGATTCATGGTCACTTTATTGTTCATAGCGTTTCTTTGTTTGTAAAAAAAGAAAAAAAAAATTGTGCTTCAGCTTTGAAAAGGGGGATGTAGTGTTATCGCTCCTGCGGTAGAACCTAAGACGCGCGTGACTATCGGTTATCGCGCTCTACTGTCTGCTTCGAGATGACTCGTCGTAGGAGTGCTGCGCACGGTTGTTGTCATGTGACCTGATATGTGTGTATATATGTGGGCGTGGCAATAAACGGGGCACTTCTGGGTCTGGGCCCCAAGTTGGAAGTCTTGCCTTCATCCCAAAGCAAACGCGACAATTCCTTTATGCATCGCAGCATACGGCCACGGATATTACAGGCATACAGGTTTCGGAGAATCCCATTCCTCCACGCTGCGTCATATGCCCTTTCTAAGTCGAAAAAAACTGCAACACAGTGCTCCCTGTTTACAAATGCTTCGCGTATCACAGTTTTCAGGCGCACTAAGTGGTCAAGGATAGATCGACCTTGGCGGAATCCACACTGATTATTATCAAAGACCCTCTGGCTTTCTAACATGTATACCAGTCGCCTGTTTATAAGCCTTTCATACGTTTTTCCGAGGCAGCTCGTCAGGGCAATTGGGCGATAACTAAATGGTTGTAAGGGATCTTTATTGGGTTTTAGAAGGGGGATAATATGTGCATGTTTCCAAGCCTGAGGGAAACATGCTTTTTCCCTCAAAAGATTCAAAAAAGAGGAGAAGGTTTTCAAGGGATCCTGAAGAAAGATTGCGAAGCATTTCATTGTGAATTTTATCGGGCCCAGGGGCAGAGAGTTTAGTTACATTAAGGGCCATCTCAAGCTCGCATCGCGTAAAAGGTAGGTTATAAGATGCTGAATTTCCTCCCGACATGACACGTTTTGTCGCTTCGCACAAGCTTTGAACTGTACAAAAGTAACACTGTAGTTGGCCGGACTAGATGCATTATAAAAATGTTCCCCGACTATACTACCAATCTGTCTTCGTGATGAAGAAGGAGCATTGAACTTTGGAATAGCAACGCAATTATAATCTCCATTTACTTTCCGATATCTGTCCCAGGCCTCTTTGGCCGGGACAAAACTAGTTAAAGAAGAGTTACTTCATCCACGACTTCCGCTTTGCTTGCTTCCTAGTCCAACGAGCCTTAGCTTTTCGTCGCTTGAACTCAACAAGGTTGTGTGAAGTGGGGTATCTGCGAAATCGGTCCCACGCCCTATTCTGGTCCGTCCGGGTTGTGGCACACTCCTCATTCCACCACGGTTTGCATTTGTTGGGTATATTACCAGATGGTTTATGGAATGGACTGCTGAGCAGCCCTTAGTATCTGCTCAGTAACATAAAGAGTAGCGTTCTCAGGGGACATAGAAGAAAGAGTCGAAGGGTCTAAAGTGGAGTGAAGATTAAAAAGCGTCCGGTCAACCTTGTCTAACTTCCACCTAGGGACGCGCTTTAAAAGATTAGGCAATAAAATGGTGCTTTCTAAAATAACTGCATAGAGATCACTTCCAAAGGGGTTATGAAGAATCTTCCGGGAAAAGCAAGGAAGTAATGAAGGCGAAGCAATAGAAAGGTCAATGGATGTGAATGAGCTGTGTGCCGCACTAAAAAAAGTTGGCTCTCTCCCGTTAAGAAGGCACAGACCAGAAGACAATAAAAGACATTCAATTACACAACTACGGTAGTCCTGACGGGTACTACCCCACATGGGATGATGAGCGTTAAAATCGCCAAAACTTAAAAAAGGATGAGGAAGCTGTCCTACAAGTCCCTGTAGCTCTTGAAGATTAACAGGAACATTTGGTGGCAAGTATAAAGAGACAACTGTTACAAGGTGGTCCGCGAGGAGACGCACTGCAACTGGTTTTAGTGGCGTGCAGAGTGGGACCTGAAAGCAAGCGACTCCACTCTGTACAACCACTGCAGCACCACCAGAAGGAAGGGAAGCAGGGCGGTCTTTCCTAAAAACCTGATGAGGTTTTAAAATGTTAAAAAAAAAAAATTTGATTGAAGGTGGGTTTCTTGCAAAGCAAGAGCGATGGGCCGAAGCTCATCCATGAAATAGTTAACATCATCAATATTTCTTAAAATACCGCGACAGTTCCACTGCATATAATGTAACTTCGTCATCTATCAAAAAGTGTGTAAATGTGTAAATATATATTGAGTGAAACATACTAAAATAGATAAAAGTATGGAGAGCCAACGAAAATTAAGAAGATATGGCCACAGTACGGTTATTGATGGGGTCATCATTTGGGCGGTACTAAAGGCTGTTTCTTTTCGGATCTGCGGGAGGGCGTCTCCCATTCCATGCCATCCTGGTCAGACCCAGGAGTAGACAGAGTGTAAACATCTGTTGGCATCTCCCTCTCCTGAGAAGTGTCCATTGGAGTAGATACGGAGCTTGTCCGGCCTGGCCCTCGGGGGGGGGGGGGGGGGGGGGGGGGGGGCAAGCCCCGGCCGCGGCCGGCTGGAGGAGTGGTGGACGAACTGGGCAAGGGGTCACCCGAGCTCGTCTTGTCCCCTCCTTTCACAGGAGCTGCATGGGCTCCATGCTGCTCCTTCTCCAGCGAGCAAGAGCGAGAAACTCGCTCCTTCTCCCTAGGAGGGGACCTAGGAGAAGGGCAAGGCGCGGCTGCTGTCGGCCTGTCCTTGGATGAAGGGGCAGCACGCGTGCTACCACCAGCGACTGGGGGAAACTGCTGCTGGCCCTGTTGGGGAGCTGGGGCCCTGAGGTCGGCCACCAAGATCTCGGGAGAGACCTGGGTGGCCCTCGACTTCGAGCGTGGTGCTGGGCCCCTGCGGACCACGTCGGCAAAAACTCCCCTTTGACACAAAGGGGAATCGCTTAGCTTCTGAATGAGAGGTTTTCCTTCACTTTAATGTAAGGACGTCTTTTTCTTGTTTCCACGAGGGACAGGTACGATAGTAAGCGGGGTGTGGTCCACCACAATCAACACAGTGGGCCACAGCCTCCTCACAAATGTCAGAAACATGGCCCTGACTGCCACACTTTGCACAAGACTCCTTCCCTCGGCAGCTGCGTGCTCCGTGACCAAAACGTTGGCAACGGAAGCACCGCTGGGGGTTGGGCACGTAAAGGCGAATGCGGCAGTTCAGGTATCCTGCCTTGACGGTCTCTGGGAGTCTGTGCTTTTCAAAGGTCAGAATAATATGTTTCGAAGGAACCTGTTCACCATTTTTCCGAAACATAATACGTTTGACAGCGACAACGCCGGAACTTTTGAGTCCCTCGAGGAGTTCTTCTTCACTTGTGTACAAAAATTAATCCTCAGAGAGGACTCCACGAATGGTGTTACGTGTGCGATGAGGACTCACCGACACCTTTATGTCAACAATGCTGGTCAAGTTCAGAAGTGCTTCGCTTTGTTTTGTTTTTTTGCGTTTACCTCCACAAAGTCTCCAGAATACAGTTTTTTGGCCTTGTAGGAAAACCCTACAAGGTGCTCTAGAACTTTGGCTACAATGAAGGGTGACATCTTTGCAACCCTTGTGTTCATCAAGAAAGTGAACAACAAAAAACTTTGTGAAGGTTTTTATGTCGGAATCTTTGTCCATGGTTTTGTGTTCGAGGCAACGCCTTTTAAGGGCGTGCCCTGAACGGGGTTTGGAGGGGTGGGGCGCCATAGGAGGGCAAAGAGTGTTCGGAATCCGCGGTGCACCGCCCACCACCCAGCCTAACAAGGGGTTAGGTAACGCGCCATAACAAGGAGGGCTTGGCTGGAGACGTTACGCTAACAGTGCTGCCGGGAAACTATACCCAAGTGTGGGTCAAGACAGAGGTCTATTGCTACCAAAGGTTAGCGCTTGCCGCCAAAGAGGGGTGAAAAAGGAGTTAGAGAAATGAGAGAGAAGTAAAAGAAACAGGAAAGGTAAAGATGAAAGATTGGAGGGGATAGTAGAAGAAAAGGCGACCAGACTGAATCAAACTGGCCGGACCTTACCAGGACTCCCGTCTACGAGAAGCGGGGGCCGATGTGGGTGATTTGCCTCACACGGGGGGCCCCGAAGGGTCCAAACCTACCCCGGGTTCGGCTCAACCACCAGGATGCCCTTTTCCTCGGACACAGGAAGGCCACGCACAGCCAGACGTGGGCGGGCGAACCCGCATGGCTCGGGGTCCGTAGGGACGCCACTCTCCAAACACCTGCTTCAACAGGTGCCTCCTGTGGGGTGATAGCCTAGGGCATCACGGAAGAAACTGAAGAGCAGAACGGAACTGTGCATTTTGAGGGGTACTACTGGGGCATAAAAAGATTATTTAAGGCACAAAAAATATACACAATATTCAATGCTTGCCGACTGTTACCATTGAAAATAAATATGCTATGAATGCTGATCATACTTTTGATACGCGCAGGCTATGTTTAGTTTTATTCATCTGACCAAGGCAGACGATGTGGCCGTGGTACCCACTATGTGGAT